AAAAATTATTGCTCTGTAAGTGACAAATGTGAAAGAGGATGAAAGGTGGAGGAGAGGAGAGAAGGAGGGTTAGTTTTATTGACCACTGTCATCGATCTGTCCATCTGTAACACAGGTTCTTATGTAGTCAAAATATATAACGCTGGAGTGGTTAATACAGTGGAATTGGGCCTGGACTCGTCATGAAAATACAGTTTGTCTATTTTACAATTTATACTCTTAATACATTTTGATATTTTGAGAATGAGCAACAAAACTGTTCTTTAAATGCAATCACCCCTTAACAGGTACTTATTGACTAAACAAAAGGATTGAATATTTACTGTAAAATTAAGTTGCACATGTAACCCACTTCCAGGTATGCACACGTCACAGACTAGGTTCGTAGAGCTGAGAGATTCATCCAAGTGCACTTTTCCAGGTAGACTCAAGCTGGTGTCGGTCAAAGTGACTGGCACGATCATACCATAAACAGATTGGTAGTCCGCTGTATGGTGGTGTGGAGACTCTGGATTCAAGCTGGGAGGCTCGCCATCAATGGCTCATAGAATCTGCCTTCCTGGACATGAGGGCTAGAATCTTCACTTTTCTCGGACTCATCAAAAAGACCTGACCTGCACAAACAGGTTTATCGTCTAAATTCTTATATATTCATCTCGTTCATTATAATCAAAGCGTTGTACAACTATAAATGCATTTTCCAAATATTAACTGTATAAAGTTATAACAAGCAGATAACAGTTACTTTGCTGACTTTCAATTATTACCATGTCTGAATAATTCCATTCTAACCCACTACAGACAAAACATAAATTGAAATGTGATTATTTGGTCACACTTTAAACAATTTACCTTACTAATGAATTGCACATTATGCTTCAAAGTAAAATGCATAAACTTTATTCAACATTTATGCAACATCTCTGTTTAACTCTCTTTTTATGTTTTAAACCAAAATACATTGCTTTAAGCTCCATGAATTAACATTAATTACATTTTTACTATCTTTAACCTATGAAATTAACTATTTACAATTAAATACCTTTCATGTAAATCAATATAAATTTACTGTAGTAACCCTGCGTGCATTACTGCAGATATTTGGTTCAGTAGTAAAATGTCCACAGTAACATAAATCTTATGTAAATTAACAAAATAACGTTTTTCAATCACTATCATTGAAACAACCTGACATGTGATCATACAGTAATTAACACAAGTGATAGCTAGCTTACCAAGGGATGGTGTTGTGTTTACCCACTAACTTTGCTCCCTCTGTGCTCATCCACGCTCTAGACAGGATTTTTACAAAGTTAACACCATTAACTGACACAACCAAAAGTTTAAGCACAGAAATATACGGTTTTCATACCTTTTCCTCTTTTCTCATCACACGTGAGTGAAAGAGCAGGGCTCTCTCAGTCAATAAACGAAGTTAAGCTAGATGCGCTTTTCTAAGCATCGCACGTCCTGTATTATCAAAATAAAACTTCCGGTTTTCAAAATAAAACCCAGTCTCAATAAAAGTATGTAGAAAACTAAAAAAATAGTACTTGAACCCTAACTGGTGGGTTACACATATAATTTATTAAATTTGAATAAACATTTTTGTTTCATACATTTTCAAAACAATATTCTTGGATGAACAACTCAAAACTCATTATGTTATCTGTGGGCTCACACACACTCAGTGACACAATAATAATATTGAACCTCTCTGGCCTGTTTCTTGAAGCTTGTGTGCAGTGAGACATAAAACTGTAATGGCTGCTTCACTAAGAGATGAGCACCAGCTAAAAGCAGGTGGAGTGTGTGTTTGTACTCACAAACCCATGGGTATGGTTAGTAGAATTACAATGGGGGAAGAAAACATGGAGTCACAATGAGGAAGTGAAGTCAGCCGGACAGGACACACCTGAACACAGACAGACCAAAACCAGATCTCTCTCCAGTGACCGCCTTCTTAAAGCATATGAATCCAACTGAGACTCAATATAGAACACCATTTCATGTTGTACTAGCATTAGCTCTATTTAGCTTAAAAAACACCAAAATGCCACCGCTACAATATACAGGCCTAATAGCACTGAATGTTAGCACCATGTCAGAGCTTTGTATCATCAGCACCACTAGCATCAGCACCACTAGCATCATTCATTTCGCATCAGTAGCATCAACACATGTAGCATCATCAGCACCACTACTAACATCATCAGAATGACCAGCATCATTTCAACCACCAGAATCATTAGCATCATCAACATAATGACTATCATTACCATCGACATCACTAGTATTATTAGCATCACCAGAATCACTAGCATCCATTTTATTATTATTATTAACATCAGTGGCATCATCATTAGCATCAGTGGCATCATCATTAGCACCAGCACTTGTACTCAGAAAAAGTAACATGTACTTACCACCTGATCAGACTGAAACACTTGTTAGCACCGCAAGGTTTCCATGTTCAAGCTGATCAGAGATGAAGAATGGATCAACAGGTGAGGCCGTTCTTTGTCCTGGAGCAATCCCGTCCAAAAAACCCTCCGTCTCCTCTGATTCTTGAAATGATCTTATAAACAGTGCTACTGAATTAACAACTCAAAACTCAACATGTTACCTTTGAGCAATCACACAACATGATATCCTCCTGAGACCCGGCCCATTCATTTATGTCCATTACAGTGGACATTTTGTCCACCTGTACCCCCCTAAGTATCTGGAGTTACCCTATCAGCCCTATAGTGTTCTGTAGAGCACATCCTGGGCTTTCCGGTGATGTGCCATGTTATAGGTTTGCATGCTGGGAACTTTACTTTTTTCCTAAGAGTTCTTAGGTAAATATCCCTTTCAAGACATCTTCTTTTTCATTATTTAATTATCTAAAGCCTTTTCTATTTTCTCCATGCAAATCGTCCTGTTGTCCTCCAACGTGGACATGCTATGAAATTCAAATTAAAAATATATATTTTTAATTTTAAATTGTAATGTTCTTCTTTAAGTCCAAATACATGGAAAATCACAACAAAAAAGAAATTTGAAGACACTTTTTTTCTTTGGGTCTCATGAGGATAAGACTTTCAATCGAAGCTAACGCTATTACCTTCAATCCAAGCTAACCGCAATGACCTTGAATCTAAGCTAACCGCAATGACATAGACTCCAAGCTAACGCGGAAAATGGCGCGCAAAGTCACAATGAAGAAGCGCAGCTCAGCAGGACAGGACTGACCCTCAAAATACTTTGGTCTCTCTCTCTCTCTCTCTAATAGCCATATCCTTAAAAAAATCTAAATTGAGCCAAAGTATCGAATACTATCTCATTTTGAATTAGTATTAGCTTACTTTAGTTTAAAAAATATCATTATGCTAAAGCTATAATATACAGGCCCAATAGCACCGAATGCTAGCGCTAATTAGCAAGTCGCTAACCGCCTTACAAATCAAGTTTCCTTAAACTATGACAGCTCGGGAACAGAATACAGGCATATACATCATATTCACCTCGTGCAGGTCACACAAAAGCATATCAGACGTCCAAAGTAAACTTATTTGCTCCCCACACCGCCTTTCCTCCTGTCCCTCCGTTTCTAACTGAAATTGGCGCTCAGCTCTCCTCACACCACCTGCCCACTAAGCCCGCCCATTCACAGAGACTGCCCTCTGATTGGCTGGTGAATTTTAACAACCAACGCCAAAACAGGAATGACATGATTGACAGGTAAAAGGTTAGATTACGCATGTAGATACAGATATTTGAAGACTTAATAAACGTAAGTAACTTTTTAAGGATATATCTCCTAACTGTAAACTGTCCTTTTATCAAAGTTTACATGTCATATTCATTCTTTTAAGCAGCACACAATTTATTCATTTTTAAGAACGATTATTTTTGAAAATGTTACATGTTACACTGTCAGATTAAATGTATTGTCTTTTTTTATCTATATATCCATCTATGCAGATTCGGAGCTGTGTGGACCCAGACCACTTTGAGCTGTTCGGCCTGAGCAGATCCTGATCTGAACAAAGCTTTCAAAGACAGTCTGTTTGGGCAGAGCTGAACATTTGAAGGCAGCATGTGCATGTCTGTGCTCTAAAAGTGCCATTAACCCCTTTATGTTCTGCTTTAAACAGGAAAACTGAAGAAACTCTTCTTTTTTTCCTGCTGTAGTTACACCAAACTGCCACAGAGTGTCTCTGTGGTTTGTCTAGGATCTATAAATCTATCTGGGTTCTGTTTGGATGGTAAAATATGCTGATGTGATTGTGAAAAAGAAGATTTTGGATTTGAAAGAAGTCCCCGTAAAGTTTTTAAAGTCTCTAAATTAATCTGGAAAACTCTGGATCCCTCTGTGCTGTCTAAATTCAGGCCCCTCTCTAAAGTGCCATTTTTATCCAAAGTTTTAGAGGTCTATTTTTATTCTAATCCAATCCTTCCTAGTGGCCAGTATCACCTAGGACAAGTTTCAGTCTGGCTAACCCTAACCTAACCTAACCTAACCTAACCCTGACCTAACCTAACCCTGCCCTAACCTAACCTAACCCTAACCTAACCTAACCCAGACCTAACCTAACCTAACCCAGCTCAGTCTGAATCAGCTCATGGCAGAGAAGAGAAAAACTGGTCCAGGCCAAACACAAACAGACCACACTTAGAAAACATCCACTTTTTATTTGACTCATTGACTTCTGACAGGGTTAGAGTCTCTGCTGGCTCTGGAACATTTAGTCTGGTGTCCGCTCCACGGCCACCATGGCCAGCTGTGGGACTCCTGTGAGGCCCCCCCCCCCCCCCCCCGCCCCCGGCCCCATCCCCACCCCGGGGGGGGGGGGGGGGGGGCGGGCAGTGGGGTCGGTTCTGCTGACCCACTTTAGGGTTCTGACCCGGTAGAGCTCCAGTCAGAGCCACAGAAGGACAGAGGGGAATACGTGGAAACGGAGTCGGGTCAGAACGCCAGCCTGCTCCTCCTGTGGGTTACATCCTGTCCTGGCCCCGCCCCCCTGGCCACTGGCCCCGCCCCCCGGCCACTGGCCCCGCCCCCTGGCCCCGCCCCCCCGGCTGGCTCCAGGCTCCTATTTGTGGCGGCTGCCCCTCCTCTTCATGGCGGCCGTGCACTGGGGGCAGAACCACTTTCCCTTGGGCGCCTCGGTCAGCCCCACGCAGCCGTAGTGGAACCACTCGATGGGGCACTGGGGTGAGACAGAACCGGGTCAGGACCAGAACCGGGTCAGGCACAGAACCCGGTCAGACGCAGAACCGGGTCAGACACGGAACCGCACAGAACCGGGTCGGACACAGAACCAGGTCAGACACACAGAACCGGGTCAGAACCAGAAGCAGAACCAGGTCAGGGACGGAACCGGGTCAGGCACAGAACCCGGTCAGACACAGAACCGGGTCAGA